TTATAAAGATGATAAACACTTTTTCTCCACGGACCAAGATATTTTGCCGGCAGACATTGATGGCAAGAATTTTGGAGAGCTTTAAGGAAATGAAAGAATCTTTAATTTTAAATCTATCAGATGTCTCCTACGTCTGTACAACGGCAGATTGCTGGACTCACAATAGAAGGTAAAAATGTTTATTTTCTTATTTATAAAATGTCATATTTTTAAAGCTTATTTAGGAGTAACTGCACATTGGATTGATCCTAAAAATCTTAAACAAAAATCTGTAGCGTTAGCTCTAAAGAGAATAATTGGCTGTCAGACTTATGACATTCTAGCCAATATTATTGCAGAAATCCATAGGTCTTACAAAATTCAAAACAAGGTTTGTAAGATGATTACGGATAATGATAAATAATATTATATTATATTTAACCATTTTAATTTTTTAGGTTATGCAATATGTTGCTGCCTCACTTAAAATCTTAGAAGGGCAAGATAATATGAGCATGGGATATTATGTGCCCACACTGAGTATATTAATTACCAAGCTCAAAAGAATCAATAATCTAAAATTTTTCCAACCACTGGTAGAGTCTATGCTAAAAGGCATTGAGAAAAGGTCAAAACTTTATTTTTATTTACTATTATACAATTATATAAAATGAATGATTTATTGCTTGATTAGCCATAATTTAAATTGGCTTAATTTACAACACAATCTATAATATTAATATATATTATTAATTAATAGAAAATTCAAAATTAATATATTATTAATTACCTTGTGTATAATAATTATATTTTTAAAATTTTTATTTACCATAATTTATTGCTATTTTAATATTTTTTTTATAAATGAATCTAAATCTCAGATAAATTTAAATTTTAAAAATTAAAATGGTATTCTTCTTTTTTTATAATAAATACAATCGCTTTATATAAATTAGATTTCCAGATCTGTATGATGATGATAATGTAATAGCTGCTATCGTTCATCCTAGTTTCAAGTTAAATTGGCCTTACATTAATTTGACTGAATCTAAATGGCAACTTGATAGGCTGATGGTAACGTTAAAAAATGGCATGCCTAACCACGATACTATAGCAAGATCGAAACCGCAGCCTTCCATAGACGATTTTTTTGAAATAAATAATAATAATAATATTGAACCTCTAGATGCTTTTTTTAAATCTAAAAATACTAATTTAAATATTTTTGATGATTTTTTTCATATAAAAAGTTTGTTTATTAAATTTAATACTGCGTTGCCCTCAAGTGCTAGTGCTGAACGATTATTTAGTATGGCAAAGCTTATACTTTCTGATAGTCGCTCTAGACTTGGGGATGACAGTACCGAAATGTTATTATTATTAAAGTGCAATAAAATAAATTATATATATATATGTAACAAATTATTGTCATGTTTTTATATCAATATTTTATTTGTGGAAATAAAGTTACGTAAAAAAAAATATTTTAAAAAAAAATCAAAGTTACCGTAAAAAGTAGCTTTAGCTACTTTTTTTTTAAAGTAGCTAATAGCGCGCTACTCATTTGAAAACGATAGCGGTAGCGATAGCGCGCTACTTTTTTTATAAAATAGCGGTAGCGATAGCGCGCTACTTTTAAAAGTAACGTTTAACAACACTGATCTTTAAACTAAAATATCCATATGATGTAGCTTGCAAATTGATGGCGAATTCTAATTAGTTTATCAATATTATAATCATAGAATATTTGTTTGCTCTGATATATTTTATTTTTATTTATGCTGATAATATATATAAATTTATTTTATTTTCCTTTAGAAAAAATTTAAATGGCCCGCTCCAGAGTTAACCCAGTCCGTTCCTTTTTTACTTATACTATTCTCTTAATGAATTAGCCTGTAAAATAAAGTTAATCATACTTAAAGGTGGCCATAGAGCTAATTTAGAAAGCTATATTCAAAGGCATAATGCTAAAGAATCAATAACTTAAATAAAATTAAGGCCTTCCAAATCTATTTTGCGATCAATATCGAAATCTAGCCATAATATTTCTAAAGCAGTCATTAAATTATATGATCAGGGTTAATATGGATTAAAATACATTTATAAATTCTTTTACAGTGTTATGATTCATATATATATATTTTTTTAAATATTAAGCAGCAAAGTAGAGATCTAAAAAATGGGTAATTCCATGACATATCGACCAGCGATTCGGCCGACCATCTCAAAAATTATTGAAACTTGGCATGTTAGTTATTTATGTTGTAAATTTTAATGAAATCAAAATTTTAGAGTGCTAGCTCAATCAGATACAAAGATATTTATTATTCATAGACACTTATAATAAAAATAAATTAATTTATCTATTTTATAAATCAATAATATATTAAATTAAGTGATGGCAAAAGGTTTTATAAATAATATTCATATTAAAATCATATGTCATGGTGTTGCTTCAATAAAATTTAATAAAACCGTTGTATATAAACTTTTACAATGAACCTTTAAAGATTTTTCATAAGAACCGTAACCGAACCGTAACCATTATGAATTTTTATTTACTGAACTGTTATAAATAAAGTTTGGGCCCCTGTAAAATAGAGATTTAAATAATTTAGGAAAGCCCTTTTATATTGGCACTCCTTTTAAATGTATAATCTTACTATTTATTAATATGAATTTGTCATATGAAATTATTAAAAAGGAGCAATAATTAGAGATCTGCAAATCACGGCCGGTTCTATTTTTTTAAAAAATTGGTTGGGACTGCCTAGGGACTAATATTTTTTAAAAATTTCGGGCCGAACTAGTCGGGTTTAAAATTTTAAATATGATATCATTACATTTTGTCAAATAATGACACATTTAAAATTCTTGCAAGAAACAAGGAGCTAATATTTTTTTATAAGTAGAATATTTTTTTACTAAAAAAAATAAATTTTTTATTTAAATAAATTCGGGCTGGGCCGGACGTACATATAATTTTTATTTTGGGTCGTGTTTTTTTGGACAAATAAAAAAATAATTCTTTCGGGATCGGGTCGGACAAATTTTAAAAAAATTTAGAGTCAGACTTGAAATATCAAGCCCGATGCAGATCATAGATACTATCACATCATAAAAATTAATACTGCAGATACCAGGAGAAAATATATTTGATTACAGTTATTTCATAATAAAAAATTTAATTATGCATATTTATATAATTCTAAAATAACGAATAATTCGAATTAGATAACTCTGCTGAGTCTGGACCAACAGAAAGCCCAGCCATGAGCCGGGCCAGAGAATTATTGGAGTTTATATTGGGCCGAGTCGGGCAAACAAATTAGCAAGTGGAGAGAAATCAGTACATAAAAAATTTTCGAGCCATGCCGGACAATTTATATGTTAAACTAAGAGAACCTTGCAAATATCTGATTATTAGTAAAAATATGGGTCATCCTGGGTATTAGAATTTTCATACATTTTTGAATTTTAACCTAATATTTTGAATTTAATTAACACTCTTTGAATAATTTACAATATGCATATATCTTCATTTTAAGAGCTGTCTAACTAAAATATTAAATCCATAAATAATATAGTAAATTCACAAAAAATTAAACAACCTATATGATATGATCCAATTACATATATACATTAGAAATATCAAATACAATTGATTTATAAAACATTTTTCTAGAAAGAGATGGATAAATATAGAGGAGAGTTATAAGAACCGTAATTGACATTGATAAAAATTAGATAAAGGTTAAAAAATTAGTACAAAAAAATTAAACAGGCCGGAGCGTACTCAATTATTTCTTTTTTGAAATTATAATTAGTAAATAATTATGATTTACACTTTCATAAATTCATTTTGTTAGATTAAATTTTATTTTATATATATAAATTCCAATATTGGTAGCATTTTTATATTTTACTAATGTATTTATAGTCAGAGATATTTGATATTTATTTGGAGCTTGGGCTACAAATATGACTATGATGGGGAACATCATTCTTGATGTTGGGACTTTTGTTTATATCTTACGGACCATATTTTTTCAAAGGATTTAATAGCTTTCTGATTAGCTTGAATATCGTATTTGAGTTTAACGACATATAAATGAATACGAGGGTAATTTTTTAAACAAACCACTATTGGATTTTTATGTAGGTAAACGATTTAAAAATGATATAAAAATGTAGAATAATTCTACAAGATAAGAGGACTATATCAATCTAAATGTTATTAGAGCCGTAACCATAAGTTTTACTGGAAGAATAGTAAATTTTTTCGAAATTGAATCTATTAGGCCAAAATTATTTTTATACGAACCTTTAAGATGGATAAAAATAACTTATAAGTGTTCGAATTATTTCGATATTATATTTGTGCATCAATATCATTAATTGCATAAATAAAATAATGGAAAAACGACCATGAACAAAAATCCTATCCTAGATGAATTAGCTAAATCATATATTAATTTAAAACTCTTTTTTATGATATTTTGTTAATTTATTTTTATTATTTTAATGTTAATATGTCGGGTTAAATTAGACCTTATTCATTAGAATGAGGTTATATGATATGAGGGGGTATGGCAGTAAAAAGATTGGGAAAGGGCGTCAATTAGATTAACACAGTTTTCTCTGATAGAATTGATCATTTAAAAATTCCACAACAAAAAATTTTTTTTGTGTTTAGAAGTAAAACAATATATTGTGCATAATATTGGATTTTAAAACGAATATTATAATATATTATAAAAAATTTTGCTAAGACAGTTTTAGTTTTCATACTTATTATAAATGCAGAATTCTTAATATTGGGGGAAATATTTTTAAGAGGAACAAGGATTATAATAAATGAGTATAAATAAATTTTAAAGAATGTATTCTAATAAAAAGGATTCAAATTTTATTCACATATTTTTTAATTTGGAATGGAAAAAATATCAAGGAATAACACCACCTCATATCATTAGGTTTCTATTTATACTCAAGAACTTTGGGGGAGGAGGAAGCAATTAAGATGTTTTGACACAACCAGTACAATCCAGCCATTCTGATATCGTGATTCGCTTATCGGAGTTGATATCGCAAAAACGAAGAAAATTACGGACACATTTACGATATATTTTGATCTTTCCAATGGTTTTTCTGAATAATGGCCATTCCGCCTTGTCTAGTACCTTATCAATTATGATTTTTTGTCAAAAATAGAGCGATATCAATACCAAAATCTAATTTATTTTATTCAAGTATATGATAATAATAGGTATAACTTTTTTTTGCGTGGTACGCATTGAGGTAATTCATAATTTAATTTTAAAATTTACTCCATTTTTGTTTTGATCGATTTTGAAATATTTCCATCTCACTGATTTTTCTTCGAGTGATTGATCATCTTTAAGCCACGATATAAAGCTATAAAAAAAATTTTTAATTTAATTAATTATAGAAATACAAATGAATTAATTTATTTATTAACTAATAACTTTTTAGGGTCGCGAGTGTATTCCATTACCATTTCCTTTGATAATTCGTCAATAAGTTTAACGAGGAACTGCTGTTTTAAAGTGTTTAAGCAACCTGTAATCACAATATTAATAAGATAATTTTTAAATATTCATAATCATTTAACATGTATTTTAAGGAATTTCTACCCTTCGTGACTATTAAATCGAAAAATGAGTTTCTCTTTCAATATCTGGAACTGAAACCTGTGGAATAATCAAACACATACCAAGAAATTGAAACCCCTTTCTTAAAATTTCTAGGGATTGGAACTAGAAACCATTTTAAAATATAAAGGAGGCGGTTTCAACAAAAGTTTAACTAATTTATATATTATATTGTTAAAAAATGTTGTGTGATTCATTTAATGTGTTTCTTTAATGTTCATAATTCTTGAAATTTTATATTGCACATTAACAAAGTTTAAAGCCGGAACTAGTACATCTTGAAATCGTATCAAATCTAAGAACGGATTACCCCTTTAAATTTATAAGAATCTGAATTGGGACCACCTTTTAAAAAATATTTAGCCCTTGTGATGCTTGGATTCACATCTTTATACCACCACGTAAATCTTTTATATTTACAGTTTAAATTTGTTTTTAAATTAGTTTATACGCCTGTAGCCAGCATTTGTAGTTTATACCCAAAATGTTTAAAAAACATTTAAAGAACCTTTGATCTGCCTAACATTCAGTTTTTCTCTAGTTTCGCAGTTAATGTTTGAATCCAATCTCGATGTACCAGGTATGGGTCGACCATTATCCTTATTAGAGCACCAACAATATCCAGTGCCTTTGTGGCATTGTACCGAAGCGTATTTACCGTTGGTACAATTGGGAACAAATATTCCAGATCTGGGATTAAGTTCTTCGTCCTTTAAAGCTTTCAATCTTTCAGTTAGACAGTCGGGTTTTACTAAATTTTTATTTATTCAAGGTATGTTTTATAAATATACCATTGGAGATGAGGGAAAAAGATAAAGTGTTTCCTATATGTTCATTAATATTTTAGACATTTTTCCAATTTTTTTTGAAAGATATATTATTAGACCTTAATTAAAGATGCCAAATATGCAAAAAAATAATTTGCTTAAAAATGTAAGTTTTAACTCTGCTGAGACGCCATTGATTTAATTGTTATGATAAGAACAGTTTAATAATCATTTTCTAATTTTTTTAAAAAAATAGTGTAGTGTTGATAAAAATGATAATAATAAAAAATTAGAATTTAACATGATTGAAACTATAAAAAAATATACTATTCGTTTAGAAAATAATAATATGATTAAAATTAACCGTTAGTGGTTTTTAGAATAGTTGGCACCATCAGAGTTTTTTTGGATAAAGAGTCGAAATTCATTTGTTTGTGGTACAAGGATGGTCCGTTGATGATATCTATAAAATTTCATCATAAATGGAAAATTTTGCTAAAAATAAACGAATATTACCAACCATAGTTGTGGTTAATATTGCTATTTAGTAAAATAGAATCTAAATTAGTTTATCTCGCAAAATAATATAATAAAATACTACTAATCTTATTAAATTATAGTAAATAATGTTTCAACAAACTATAAAGAATATTATAAACCGTTATTATGATTTGAGTCTATATTTTCGTTAAAATCTTCTTCTTCAGTGCTAAGCGATAGAAACAAGCGGAAAGAAACTTTTAATAGAGTGATTTAAGAATGAAAACTAAATTTTATATTCTAACTTAGACAAGAGAAATGTATATTTAAACTTAATTAGTGTCTACTACATGAAAATAAATGGTATCGCTAGTTCTTATAATCTAGGCGATAACTATTACTAAAAAAAATGCTCCAGTGATTTAAAATATTTTAGGCGTCTCCTAATCAATCCAAGAGTGTCGAGGTTTGAAAATATAGGCCCTGCCTATTGAGGCTTCTCGTTGTATAATCCCTTGTTGAGATAGTCGGGATCTATAGTTCTCATGTTGATAACTATACATGAAAACAGTGTATCTCCACTTTCTTTTGCTATGACAGAGGATGATATATTCAAGTTCAACTTAGATGCAAAGTACAAAGTAAGCCTTTCGATCAATATTCAATTAGAAATTTAGTAATACGAATGGCAAATTATGAATAATAAACATAAAATTTTGACGAATAATAAATTTACATTACTTGTATCATTCGTAAATTTTGGAAAATTGCAAATTTGAGTATTTATATATTCCAATTATTTGTCAATTTTAGAATTTGAAAATCTTTATGATTAATTTTTTACACTTTATATTTTTTGGCATTTGTGATATTTATTTTTTATTTAAAATTTCCTAATAAATTATAAAACAAATATAATTGTAGGATTATGCAATCAGAAGGATATAAAATAATAGGGTTCCTACAACTTGTGACGTCTATTTTTATAGGCACAAACATATGTCTTTAAAAGAAAGCACAATTAGGAACCTTATTAAAAAAATCGAAATAATTATTAATTGCAGTTATTCGAGTAAGGCATGAAAAAATTAATATAAAATAATCCAAAATTTATTATCTTCAGTTATCAAGAATTTCCGGCCTGATGGACATACTTTAACTCCCTGGGATTTCGGGAAACACACGTATGGGATTTTATTTTTGTCCCATCTAATAATATTTATGACCCATTAAGGATAACGGAAAAAGAAAATTCTATAAAAATATTTGATCTAACCAACGACAATAATCGTGGTAACAACAAATTTTTCATTTGAAAAAGAAGCGAAATTTTTAATCAGACTAATCATCCAAAAGATTTCTAACAACAACTAATAAATATGAGTGATAAATAGATATTTTAGAAAGATCCTATTTATTTAAAGGGTCTTTTGATCAAGCAAAAAATCAGCTTTGAAATTTTACGCTGGCCGTCACATGAAGAGGATAATTATTTTTAACTTTTTTAAAGTTTTTTTTTTATAAAATATTTATAATATGGTTTTATATATGTTATTTACATAGTTTATAAATTCTTTTTAATTAATTTATATAATATCGAAATAAATCTGATAGAAAAAAATAATAATTATTCGATTCGAGATCTATGAATCGAACAGGAAAATTTCGTGATTCGATCAGATTTTTTGAAGGCCTAATATAAAGTAGATACAACCTAATCTTACTTTAGCGATAGGCCGTTTGACCAGGAGCGTCAGCACAGATTGAGTTATCGTTTAGAAGGCCCTAATACTTTCTAACCTCTAACCAGCCTATGATGATGATATTCCCTAATGGGTACCATGTGATGCAGGCACCTTCTGAGACTAACATTTATTTCAGCAATAACCTCAATAATTTAAAGATGTTTATATTCTATTTATTATAAAATATGATATGAAAATGAATATCAAATATTCCACACCTCCTGATTTTTTTAACTTTTTTAAATTCATTTTTTAATTATGATACAATAGAAAAAAAGAAAGAATGGGAAGAAAATATCCTAAATATTTTTCAGGCTCCATGCCGTGCCTACTTCTTATTGATAAGCTACGGAGCCTGCCCTGGAGGACTCTAGGCACTGAAGAGATTATTCACCATCATACCACAGTATTAAGATATACTCTATGACACATCATATTAGAAGAGATTTGGTGAGTAAAATAAATGATCAATTTTGTGATAAAGACTGTGCTGCCGCCACCAATATGTGGACTAATTCTTTCAATATATTATATAATTTAAACTTTTTCAACCCATTATACAGAAAAAAAACGTTATATAAAAATGTCTGATTCAAAATTGCTACAAAGTTTTATGTTAATTGGAATTATTCTCTATTAAGTAAAGAATATAAATATAATATTTATGGACAAATATTTTTTTTAAATAGGGCCGGGCTTGGAAATTAGATCTTATGCACACCTTTAGTCGTTAGATAACTTTTGCCCTTCAAGCAACGATGTCGCTGATATACATTATGTAAAAAATAAGGATTTATTACTTCTTTGATACAGATTAAGACATGCGTTCCATTCTTTAATAGATATTTCAGAATCCTTATTTGAATCGCAATCTTCGTCAAATATTCGCAAGCAATTTTTGGGTATCATGGCACGTTTCAACTTTTTTTTAAGGATTTTCAATTCTCTACGGGTAATTTGATGGTCGCCATCCGTGTCTACTTGATAGAATTGCCAGGTTATTATGTGGTTCTTTTTATTTTTCCCATACCTATTATTTTTGCGCCTTTTCATATGTGCATGAGGAGTACTTTGATCTAAAAATATAAAAAAATTTAGATGAAAAATAAATGCGCTTAAAGGGCGAATTTTCTACTCTAGACACAATTGATATCATTTTTTTGTGTAAAATTATTAAGGATCTCCCAATAAATATAATATATTATATGCTAAAATGACGACATCGTGCATAGTATAAAAATAAACATGGATCGATATCATATGTAGAAATTTTTACTTTTATGAGTTTTTTCGAATTCGTTGATAAAATATTTAACCACTGCTTTTATGAAATCGGCTCTGTCCTTGCTGTTGCATTTTCTTTTCCGTCTCCGTTTATTTCCACGAACATTTCGCGCCATCTTGACCTTAACTATATATTTTTTTAGATGTATTTATAATATAAAAAATAACGAATATATATATTTTGGAGATAATTTTTCGTGATCATGATAAGACCAACCGTACCCGTTGTTGGTGTATGCTATATCTTCTTAAAATTAAAAGTTTGCTCAACTCAATCTTTAAAAAATTGGAACCGCAACATGATGAAATTCATAATAAATTATTGGCACTTAACTTTACCCCTTTATTTCAAATTGAAGTTAACCAGAACAATACTCTTTATATTTAAAAATATAATACACCAAGTTTTAGTCCAAAAAAATTACCTGATATAAGACCAAGGTTAATTCAAGATATAAATTTATTTTTTTTAAATTCACTATTGCAAGAGGGAGTCTGATGAATTGTTGCCGTGCCTGACATAGGATTGCCGTTAGTGTCGACGCACCAACAATAACCGGTATTGAAATGGCACTGCACCTCACTGTATGAACCGTCACCTTTACAATCAGGAACGAATGTGTTATTTATACGATATTTTTCTATCAAAATAGTCAGCGTACTTTTTTCGCATATGCATTTGGGGTGTTTATCTGTCGAACCATATAAAGTTATTAAATGGAATTATATAGGGAATACAAATATTCTCAACTTTATCGTTGGATCGGAAATAATAAACCAATAATTTAATTTTTATGGTCTTGTAGAGTAGTGCGTGACAATTTTAGTCGCTGTATAATATAACTCTTATAAAATTATTAAAATAAATTATATAGAATAGGATATTTTATTATTAGTGCGAGTAATGGTGATTTACTTTAATAATGTGGTATTGTCTTGTTAAGTTTATAACTACAAAAGCTTATTTTAATATGATGAGTTTAGTTTGGGCCTGTCTGGTAAACTTAGTATATCGGATATGCGAACATCTTTTGTTGTTCTCTCATATTTAGAGCTAGCAAATAAAGAAAATTCCCAAAATTTGAATTGTAATTAGGTAATCGGATATTTTAAATTATTTCAGACTTAAATTATATTTTCAATATAATTTCTCTTCAAAAAGGGATGATAAAAAGATAATTCTTATAATAATTTATGTCGACAGCTGATACATCATTTCCAAACCTCAACATAAATACAAAAACCTACTGCATTATAATAGTATGTATTTAGTTTAAAGGAATATATAGTAAGATCAATTAAAGTTTTGGATATGCGAATTTAAAGATATCTATTTTAAAAGAAAAATTAGATATAATATTATTATACTATAACATATTATATATTTTGATAGAAGAACCTTAAATAATAGTAAAAATAATGGTGTTAGATTAGTGTTGAAAAGGGATTGAAGGAATTTGCATGGGAATAATGTATTTATATTATGAAAAAATTAATTATTTGCATTTTTTTTAAATCAAATTTTAAGGACTAATAAAAAATATATACTTTTGCAAGATAATCTGATAAAATTAACTAAGGATTCCTTAAAGTATGGTGAAGATATATCCCATTGAATACATTCTGGAATCAGGTTGGATTGACACGTGTCATTTAATATTAGTTTTTTGAATTTTCCCATTTTTGTTCGAGTCGGCTAAAATAAATATCGTATTTTAAGAAAAAAGTTTATAAAAAACCTAACGGGTAATTATATTCAAATCGAATTATTCAAATAAATAGCAAGTTTAATATATCTTAGGTATTACAGGTTAAAGCTGTGCCTGCATGAGCCAGGCCAATCCCTCAAATTTAGGGATTGATTAATAAGATTAATTTTGGAGTGAAGGAATGGAATATTTATATTTTTACACCAAATCTATTAATTTATTAAAGAAATATGATTAAGCCAAAAGACTATTATTTATATGAGTTCAAGAATAAGTAAGAGTATGAATAACAAATTATTTGATTCGATTTAAAGAATTTATAAATTCATTATTACAATATCATATTCAATTTTCATGTTGTTATACTTTAAGATTATTTTATACATGAATTTGTGTTATAATTAAAATAGATTTGATTTTACACATTTAAAACTATAAATCGAGCGGGTAAAAATAAGGTATATTTATTTTTGTTTATAAACTGTGTAATTCGTTCATCGCATATATAAAAAAGATGTTATTGGTTGAGAATCGGTATAAATATCTCGATGAAAAAAATAATTCAAATTATTATGCCTATAGAAGGAATCCATTTTGGTTATAATGATAGATATCCTAGACTTTTATTAAAATCATATAATGATGTTTTGCTAATAACTACAAAATAAAATTTAAAATTTACTTGAAAATTTTTGTTAGACATTTTTGAAAAATTGTTAAAATAGGGTATATATTTATAGAGGTTATGTTTCTTAGGTATTTTTGATCTGAATTTAACTAGAACTAGATAGAGTAAATCTAGTCTTCATATGCTCGCTCATCTGACTAGGTCCACGTAAAAAAAAATTAAGTGTTTTAATTTAAATATTACATATTATGATTAATATTACTATTTTTCAAGTAATTTCTTACAACTTTATAAAATAATTCATAAATATTATCCAATTCATATTCTAAGCTGCTTATTCGCTAATCAAATTAAATGAGAAACCCATTTAGTTATTATATTTGTTTTTTAAAGCTAAAAAATTAGTTTATTCCCGGCCAACAAAAGTCTTCTGACTAACTAATCAAAAAATATAATATAGAGGTTTGCCGAACTCAACCACATTAAAATAGCATGCAAAGCTTGGAATATTTTTAAATATTATAACCAGTTTTATTAATATCAGTGGTCTCTTTATTCAAATCTCGGGGTGAATAAATGATTGACTCATCTATCTTTAATATTATACATTTTATCTATATCTTCTTCTAGCACAATTTTTTCAGTTACTAATACTATGATTATCTCAATATCATGATTTTAATGGTGTATAGGTTGCATCAATAAGGTCTAGGACACACACGAAAATATGTATTTTTTTATTTAAAAATAGTATACAATTATCTCCATATCTAAATTTTAGGATTCTATTTTAGTAATAATAATAAACAAAAATATATTTTCCACTAAATAAATGGGTCTTTTAAATGCCGATTTAATTTTTCTCCCGTGAGAATATAATACATTATATTACTTCATATAATAAAAACTTGCATCTTAGCTTTAAGCCACTCACTTTAAGTTTTTATTATCATTCAAACATTTTTTATTTCGTTTTTTTTACCTTTTTTTATAACCCATAATTATAATTATTTTATTTTTTCTTCCATTATAAAATATACATATAAATATTAGTGTTAGACAATGTGACGCCTACAATAACATTAACAATTGTATAAAAGTATGCGTATGAATAAATTTATTGTCACTTTCATTTCAATAAATAATAAAAAAAATATTTTCCATTTATAAGAAATTTTTGAAAAAAAAATAAAGGTAAAAATAATATTTATTATTTTCATAACTTTAAAATAAACTATTGTTTTATTACAATTCAGTTTATTAAAAAAAATTTTTATTCTTTAATATAAACACAAAACATTTATAAAAGTAAAATGGAATATAGTGGGTAAGTAGTAAAATCTCACACGAAATGAACACTCAAAAGGGAAGCGGCTAAGTTTAAGTTAACAGTTCAATATATGGAACATATTTAAAAAAAAATTTTGAGGGTTTCACACTTATAAATAAGATGTTAATAATATTGTCAGAAATAATAATATGGATTTGAAAATATTGTTTGTTTTTTAAATCGAATAAACTTTTATAAAAAAAGGGAAAAGAAGAGAAAAATGTTAAATCAATTATTTCATGTTTCCTGATGAATATAGTGATCGCCAACCTTTGATTTGGAGGCGCAATGTTAAAACCTAATACTGGATCACAATATAAAGATCATATAGAACCCTAGTCCGGACTGTTTTTTATAAATAATCGAATTTAGGCATAACCCTCTTCCCCCCCCCCCAGCCTCTGGAAAATTTGGAAGTTTTCGTAAATATTAAAATTTATTACCATCCACAGATTCCCACGTCCCCTCTCCCTAAATACTACAAAAAACAGACTTAACGCCCTTTAAAAAAAATTATAGGAAGGGGTAGCGACCCAAAATATCCCCATTAGAAACTTATTACGTTAACACAAAAGTATCACTAAATAAACTTTTATTATCAGATAAGATGAGATCCTTTTAATTTTATGCCTGCTAGTCACAATACACGCGATAGATTGTATCAATCTGCTTGTTAACTATTTCTCTTGTTACTGAGTCATCTGATTTAAAAATATATTGTTCACAAGGAACTGAAGTTGATAGAATAATTTTTATTTTTGATTATTACAAAATAAAACATTCCTAACAAATATAATTTAATGGGTCCAGATCGAACCACTGAATCTATTTTGAAAGACCAAATCGCCATAGTTTAGTCCAATGGTTAATGCTGAAATACAAATCAGATTTTTAACCTTAACGCATTCTATAAATGATCTAAATTTTAAAAAATTGCTAACCTCCCCCCCCCCTTCTTACCCCGATTTGATAAACACGATACTGCATTAAATTATTGTAATCTCATTTTTTTAGGAAGATTAATTGGGATGAAAGGTCCAAATAATTTTAAAAATTATTTATGTATTTATCAAAAATTGTTGATTTCAAATAAAATATATATTGTTAATTATATAATTCATAATAACCCAAATGAGTATTAAAAAAATTATCGAATATTAAAAAATAAATACTAACATATTTCGACCAAATCAATAACTACCAGTAAAGTTTTCCTGCTTTTATAATTCTCTCTGATTTAGAATACCATAAATCTTATAATATAAGCATATTGGTAAACACATTCATGCTAACATTCATTCAAAAATAGTATGTATTAATAATAAAATTATTTATAAACTTTGATTTTTAAGGAATTTATTGATTGCTGAAAGGTTAATGAATAAGCCATGAATCCGAAAATAAATGAAATAACGTGGGGTTTAATATCTAACATCATTTCGACAAAAATAGGTTGTTCAGGCTACTATTTTTGGGGATGGAAATGGGCATGAATATGATTTATTTTTCTTTTTTTTTAAATTAATAAATTAAGTTTATTTTTAAAGTAAATTTAGGAATTATTAATTTATATTTTACAAAACGAAATTTTTTTTATAGTCATAGTAACATTGTAATATTTTGAAAAATTTATAAAATATTATAAATGATAGAAAGACGAATAATAAAAATTATTGCAAATCAAAAAAAAAATTAAATTATGAGTATCCACATCTCATCAACTCTTTTTCTTTTTATTTATAATTTGAAAAATAATAATGTTATAAAACAAACAATATTTTAATAAAATATCATTTATTTTATGTATCTATTCTAAACTATATAATCGCCGTAAAGTAACTATAATCATCACTACATATTTATCCTTATTTTATTCCTTAATTCTACTATGTGGTTTACGATATTATTTAAAATTTTAAATGGTTAAAGTATCGTTATACTGTATCGAAGTTTCTGTATGTATATATTTTCTGGCATCAAAATCGACGATCATTTAAAATTAATATAATATTTTTTTAAATTTAAAATAAAGATATTTTTTAATAGTTAAACCAAATTTTAAGGTAAAAAAAAATATCGGAAATGTATTGATTTTTCGATACATATACATAAAAATGTATTCCAATAAAACTACAATATAAAGATTACTTAAATTAAAATTATTAACATTAAAAAATAACTTGAACTTACATATATTAATGTACATAATACGAATCCCGGAAAAAAAACCCCTGGAAAAAAAACCCCGGAAAATAAACCCCCGGAAAATAAACCCCCGGAAAATAAACCCCCAAGAATTTTTTTTCATTTTTATAGAATTTAGTTAAGACCTAATAATATAGGTATATTTTTATTTGGCCTACTCTCCATAAAAAAATGCTTAAATAAGAAAAACTGATGTTTAAATTGGTACTGGGAAAAAATGCCTCAGTAAAATAACTATGTATTGTAAAAAAAAATTGCTATAGTAAAAATACAATACCATCTTTAAATATGATATTAAATAGACTAAATTTGACAAAACTTAGAAATAAGAAATGTTTATTTTATTGGTAAATCATGATTATGTATATACAAATTTTATAATTTATAATAATAATTATATGGGTTGACATCGAATATTGAAGGAAATCGCTCTTATAAAATCTGGAAGGCTTCGCACCCCATCACGGTATTCTTTGCAAAGTTTCTTTAGCCGAATCTGGTTGTTAGAACTCTGCGATTTTTTTTTCGATGTCCAACTACCTACGCGCCATCTTTCAAGTTTGGTTTCATCGGCAGCCACCTCGCATTTTATTTTTTAATGAGTACCCAGATTGATGGGTGTTTATTCCCAACCAGATTAGAAAAACGATGATTCCAACCTTCGCATTGATTATTTGTTCGTTCTTCATCTGAGAGAGTGCTCTGATTCACGTTCCAGGTTTCTGGAGGAAATCGAGGCTCAATTCGACGTGTTTGGGATTGAGAATTGCTTCTCATGACCTCCCTTGATACTCCATTGACATAATTTTTATCGAAATAATCAAGAATGTCCTTACCATTGCTCGAACTGATCTCAGGAATGTCATTGCATTGTCCATATCACATAACGGAACGCATGCTAAGCCGTCCATCATGCCACAAAAAAAACTTAGAGTTTCATCGGTCCTGTATTCGCTTTCCAAACCCAGCTTCTGAATTTTTCTATGTGTACTTTGACACAAATGGTAAAAACATCCTCTAATTACGATGTGATCCCCTAATCGAAAAAATAAATATAAATTATTAAACATATTAATAATCATACCAATGATACTCTTAACCGCGGTCATAGCAGACTTTTCGAAATCCATGTATATATATAATGGATCAGGAAATAAATCCCTTTCCTGACATTTAGACATTATAGTTTGAAATATTATTTCATAAGTACTTTGAGTTTTTTTCTGGAGTACACAATAAACCGCTGTGATCAAAATATTGTTTATTGCCACTCTAATCACATATAATTGTATTTTTTTTTGTCTTTATATACGGCATAAAGATCCAAATTATTATTGTTTAATTTAATTAATAAATACCAATTATAGCGTTTTTAATTTATAAACAATTTTTATTCTTTTGATTAAAAATAAATTTTAAAACATAATGATCATAATACATTTTAATAAGCTAAAAACTAAAGGTAGTTGCATATCAATGAGGTGAGAAATCATGAATAAATTAAAATTATCACATATATTCAAAATACCAAATGCAAAAAAATCGAGTATTTTCCCTTTGCATTTTAATGGTTTCAACTGAATTAAATTGTATATTGGGTGAATGTATATTTGTTTCTATTATAATAAATCACGAATTTATTTCAATATTCATCTTTAAATATGTAATGAATTAAGTTTCTATTTCTTTATATACTGGCTGCTAACAACCAATCAAGTTATATACAGATGTATTTCTAAAAATTGATTATCTGCTTAAATAAATTTGTATTTTAAAAAAATCTGTTTGGATTGGCCTATTTATGCAAGCAGTTACTTCTAATAATTTAGAATATATACATAACGTTTTAAGTATCAATAATAAATATAAATAACCCATCATATTGGGGGGGGGGTAAATTTGGATGGTGCATCATATTCATAGGAGGCACACCAACTCCAGCAAGGCCCATGACCGTAGGAGGAGGTGGGGGTGGAAGAAGCATGAATGGTCTATCAGCAAAAAGTTGATGAGGTCATAATATTTTTAACAAATTATTAACTTGCAATTGTCTAAATACCAATTCAATATAAATTATTGCTAGATTATACTTAAATATGAGAGTGTATGAAAATAATCCCAAGGGGTTTTTTTTCCTGGGCGTTTTATCCGGGGGTTTTATTTCCTGGGGGTTTTTTCCGGGGGTTTTATTTCCTGGGGTTTTTTTTCCGGGGATTTTATTTCATGGGGGTTTTTTTCCGGAGGTTTTTTTTCCTGGGGGTTTATTTTCCGGTAGTTTTCCAGGAGTTTTTTTTCCTATTACCACATAATACATATCATATTTATTCATAAAAATTATTTTATTTCTTCTTCAACAATTTCATTCTATTTTGCTAAGTTTATTATAATATAATTTTATTTGTTCATATGAAAAGCAAGTCTATTTTATAGCAATCTTAGCAATTTTCTGTGAAACTTGGTTATTATCACAAAATTCTTCTCTAAATTGGTTCAAATCATTCCCATTAAAAACTCAAAACACTTGCTAAAATTTGAATAACATATTTTATATAGCAAACAAATAATATCTTAAGGAGCTTTTTCTAGCTTCATTGAAGGTGGAGGGGGGGGGGTAGATTTAATGTGCTTGATAAATTTAAAGAGCCACCTAAAAATTTTGCATTTTTTGTTGCCTAAAAAAGTCCATTTTCAAAAATATTAGCAAAAAAAATATTGAGCCACCTAAGATTGTTAAAGCTTGCCTACTGGTATTCCCCTTTTAGTTTTCTTTTTGGTCCTTATAATGTTTCCACCAGACCTGTTTTGTTTTAACGAACGCGTTCGAATTTAACGTTCAATTTTAAAAATATTTTTATTTATTTGAAAAATTTAATCGGTTGTGTATTTCCTTTTCACATTTCATTTATTTTAACACATAGTTTATTAATTTTATTATTATTGTTTATATTTTAATTTAATAGATTAGCATAAGCATGGATATTATTATTTAATCCTCATCATCTGATTCTGAAAATCCAAAATCAGATGAATTATCATTACTATGGCCAAATATGATAAATGTTTTACATTAACATCATATATTGAAGGAACTAATCAAATGCTTACCAAGTGTAAAATGTGGCCAAAAAGTATAATATTGTCAAAATCTTCAGGTTCCAATTTAAAACGAAATATTAATTATTTGATTTTATACGATATAACTAAGTTAAATCATTAAATTTGAAGAAATAATGCATTTGGGATATTTGACCACAATAATGATAGTTATTTTAAAATTAAATATGGTCAAGACGCCGTATTAAATGGGATTAATAAAAGGTATTAAACCTATTACTCTCAATTAATTACATATATTTTATTTTTTTATGAACATATATATAAGGATCAATATGTTCTTTCTGCAATTATATTATATATCCAGTGTTCAAACTTCAATGGCCATGGATAAAACTTCAACAGAACGAACCTATTAAAAATAAACTTATAGCGTCATTGAAAAAAATGCTATAAAAATCTTAGAGAACTGTTAATTTCGAGATACCCTTTGAGAATGGATTGGAGGAGGATAACTTATCTCAATTTTTTGCAAATAACAAAACAATGTTTTTAATTAATTTTCCACGTCGGTTTTATGAACGTGAACGCGTTCCTTTTTTTTGAACATGAACTTGAACGTGAACGCGTTCGATTTTTTTAGAAATGGTTACAGCACTACCATTTTCCTTCTCCGCCCTCCCCCTTAATTTTTAAATCATTTTCTCTACCCGAAAACAAACATGTCTACACCCAAACGAGTTTCTGATAGTAGGATATTCCTAATACCATAACACTTTTTGCTAACCTTATTCCTTTCCAATTTTCTCTACTGCATTTGTAGGCATCACCTTCTAACATGCCAACTTCTAGCATAAGCTATCCATATTTGTTAATGAGACGCCGCCCTGCAGTTATAGTGCGATGGCATCGTTTTTACTCTAAGGCGAATTTATTAAAATATCTAAACCTCGTATTATCTTAAGAATCGAATGCGCAGAGAACCAGGCTTATTGGGTTAAATCTCAGAAAACCTGTTTACAACCAAAATCGGCAATCTGGATATAAAAGCACTAGCTATTCGTCAAACATTATGGTTCCCACTAATTCAAATTTACACACAGTTTTTCATTAAAATTATATGTGATATAAGTTTTCATTTTTGGCATCAAAACCTTAAATTTTTTAATATTATGATGTTTTACAACACCTATAAAATATAATTCTATCAGCCCTCAATCGCTCAAAGTTGGAAGAGACATAGCAGGTCAAACTTTTTTTTATCAAAACCGAAAATGATAATTTAGGCAATATGGAAAAGTTTCCCAAATTTCCTAAAATCCTATTTTAACATAGATATAATATTTTATTTTAGAGATAAAACCAGTTTATGTTGCACTTGATTGGAACATTATGCAATGAAAGATTCAAATTTGAAATTTTTAAATTAAACATCATTTTTTACATAAAAAGGGAATGGTAGAAAATATATTCGTTAAGGATGTTATTGAGGATATCTGTGAATTTTACTATTTAAACATGTCTGTTTCGAAATATTTATATTATAAGTAAAACGAGGCATGTTATTATTAGACATGTTTTGGAGGTTAAAGAATCTAAAGGTTTATCAGATTCTGAGAATTAAATTTCTTAAAATATTTATATTAATACATTATTTAGCTTCTTCTTCTGATGCTGATTCTAAGACTTATGATTCAGACTGGAAACGTTTATTGAAAAATTTTCTGCTTTCCCTAATTTATCAATCAATTTTATAAATATTTATTAACCATTCCTACTACCTCATGTGTTGCTGAAAGGGTGTCAAAAAATAAAGTTTTTTTTTTCGGAGGGGAGGGGGTATTTTGCTTCCATTGCTCAGAAAGCGTAGGGGCCTCTGTACATATATATACCAAACAAGTATCATCACTTGTTGAGACCTCTGCACAAACCTATCCTTCAGTTGAATTTAACATGATCTCAGACTCGGCCAGATGGAACCTTGATTATAAAATTTATTCCGGACAGGATTTGGATCTTCATAACATTTTAAATTAGTTTGATTTTTTCAATATTTAGCGTTTATAATTTTTACGTTTCCCTGAAATATCATGTTTCTTAAATTTTTCGTTCGCTCTACGTCAAACGCAAAACTTTTTTTATAGTACAAAATATAACCCACCTTTATATGCCTTTATTTCAATTTTACTATGCGTATATATTTTTTTAGAAATAAATTATATTTAACATTTTAAAAAAATCTCTTTAAAATTCGCCATATTGAGATTTATTCGTATTTTGTTTTTTTTCCAAACGGATATTTTAAAAATTCATATTTCCAAAAATATTCAAGTTGGTAAGATAATATTTTATACATATATTACTTAAATATTAATTTGTTATCTAGTTAATTCTATATATAATACATCCTATTTTTAATAATCCCACTAGGCAGAATGTCGTCAACTGATGAAAGTTATATAGATTATATTGATAAATCCTTTGACTTAGAAGATAATATGCCCCTTGTAAATTTTACATACTCCCTATTGGGAAAACGATCCTTGATTAATTCCTGCACCAACCATTGACTTTAATACACTTTATGGGCGGATACTAAAGAAGCTGATACTCCATATAAAATGATTCAATTATTTTTGAATTTTTGACATTTCAAACTAATTTATATGCAACATGGTAAAAAACATTTTTATATTGCATTAGCACTTATAGTTATTATTATA